TTTCCCTTTAAACCACGTGCCTCAGTATTCATTTTTTTAGTATTGAATAGTGAACAAGACTCAAATGATAGAAAATATTTGTTGATAATCGCCCACCCAGAAATTGTCTAATTGGTTTGTTTGTCCAATAGAACAGTATAAAGAAATTTCATCTTTCCCTCTCGATAGTAAAATAATTAATCATCATAATAAACGTTTATTTAATGAACATGGAAACAAATATTTCATCATAATACATACGTCATTGATTGCTTTATAAATACAAAAACATATTTCTGTAAAACGATATCTTTTCATATCCTAGGAAAGTGGTGCTCAATACATTATATCAACTCATATTTATATGACACTCTAACGATTACGGTAGTGACATAAAATATATGCGATCACTCTTTATAAACAATATAATATTTAATTTTTGTCTACTTATGTAAATTCACTAATAGTTTATATCTTTATTGTTGTCTGGAATTCTAACATTCTATTCTTTTCAGATAATTAAAATAACCCATAGTGTTATTAAATAAGAAAAAGAGAATTCAACGAAGAAAAGTTTCTTTTCGAAGAAATCATTTATTTAAGCTGTACATTTGTATATATAGTTATCTGGAAAATATATATCTATAGGAGGATAGGAAAGATTGCATCACCGAAATGGATTGGAGACTAAATAACAAATAAGGTTACGTACTAATCAAGGGATAAGGAAGAAAATAGTTTATGGGTCAGCTAATAGTCCAATTGAAAGATATGAAGAAAAACGGTAAACAAAAGTTTTAATGGTTAAGATCATGAAATTACTATAATATCCGCAAAACCCATCTGATATTGATAAACAAAAGGTCATGATAATAAACGGAATATTAATCAAGAAAACTTGTATAAAGTAATAATAATAATAATAATAAGTGATTAGAGTTAAAGATTGAAAAATAATAAATTTTAAAAATTCAATAATAATCAAATAAAAGTGCAGAAGATCATGGAATTAAAAATACCCAGAAACATTAAAGGAATTAACGCCAAAGAAGGATGGGAGGTTGGACGAATCGTTTCTGCACGCAAAGTTCTGACTTGAGTTCGTGGATTGCCAATGTCTCAGCAGTGCACAAAATATTGATTCTACACCGCTTTGATCCAGTTCCTTTGACTCTGTAGATTACTTTAAAAGAATAATGTACAGCTTAAGTAAATGATTCCGTCGAAAAGAAAATTTCCTTCTCTGAATTCTCTTTTTCTTATTCTATTCTTTCATTACTAAGTTTCTACTATCACAAAAACCATTACAATTCAATATCTATACATAAATTAACAATTAACCATTTAAAAAGTACTCTCCTTTATAAATAAAAGTCGATTACTATTAACATAAATCAATGTAAATGTTTCATTACAATAAAATTTATTCATCTTCAAATGGAATCGTTTTATTTTAATAATTTCCATTAATTTTTTTAATATTAACAACCATTAAAATTGTTACATATTAATGTATATCAGTTTCTATAACTCAATAAGATAAGTATATAAAGTCATAATAAGATTAATAGTTGAATTTAAAACAACTAGTCCCTTTGATAAATTTCGATAATACAATGAGAAGACGAAGTTAACCCTATCGCATAAGCAGGTAGCTATCAGGACTCAGTAGCTAAGTGGATAACACAATAGAGTTTGAAGCGAACGGTACTTGGTTCGAGTCTTAGAGTGAACATCAACACCGAGATTCAGATACATCCAGCTGACGAGTCCCAAATAGGATGAAACACGTGTCCTGGATTCCACTGCTAGCAACTATCCATCTTTGTTTAAAATTTGAATTAACTTTACATTATGGTTTTACAATAAGATAATCATACATGGGTATATCAGTTAGTTGCAATGAGAAGACGAAGTTTATCAGCATTATGTGATATATTTGCGCAATATATTTCGAACAATATGATCACATATATACTTGTTAAGAACATTTATATATAAAAATTAAAAAGTCAACTAGACAGGTTAAAGGAAAGCCGTAACAAAGGAAAATTAAAGTGCACAAAAACAATGTGATTACCACTCTGAATAATAAATCAGTATTACCAGGGTAGATTAAATGTAAGGACAAATTGTTTTTGAACATATAAAGGTGGTTTCAATTTCCGTATAGCCAAGGCTTCAATAAATCTTAGTATACATCTTTAAAGACTTTTGTAGAACACTACAAATTCTGACTTGAGTTCAACCTTATGACCAGTCTCAATCAAATATTTTGCAATAGAGGATGATATCTATCTATCCTGTGATCTTATTTGACCATTGTAATCCATTTGTTTCCGCAGTCATTTCGGTATGTGTTCATCCATCCTTAATTGCAAATCACGATTGCTCCTTCCTATGTACATGTTTCCCCACATACATGTACATTGTCATTAACAATGTGTAAGTTTTAAAATGAGATAAAATATGAAAAAAAAGAATGAATAATAAATTTAAGAAAATTGATTTAACTATCCTGTTTGTTTTGTCAAATACATAAATATTGATTTATTTCATTTAAAAAAATATATAAGAAAACTTATTATTGTTAGTTGTATTTGAGTTTGTTTGTTTGTTTGTTTTTTTGTTTTTTTTTAAAGACAAGAAAAAGAAAAAGAAAAATTAATAAAATTTTTACATTTTTCAAAGTAGTATTTGTTGAACTGAAACAAATAGGCAATTTGTTTAAACAAATGATTTTTACTTATTTTAAATGTATATTGAATGTTTTATAGGGTGGAAATATGAAGTTAAAAAAAAAAAAGAATTAGAATCTCATGTAAAGGTTTTTCTCAATTTAAAGATTGTTTTTATCTTTGATTAAATGAAACAAGCATAAATCTCTATCATAATATCAACATTGTTGTATTACAAATGGTCAAACATTCAAATGTTATAATAAATATGAATTGTTCAGACAATGAAGTAGTATTTTGTTGTCTGAATTCTATAGTTTTAATTTGTTCATCATATAGCATAACCATTATCTTATATCATAGATGTATGGCTGCCTCAATTCTTACTAGATTTAATTCTTAAAAAGTAGTTTCACAGGAGTAATTCAGGTAATTAATTCATCGTAAAGTGTAGATATTCAAACTTTTATACATATTTAAAAAGTAAATTGAAGTAGAAATATGATAAATTGTAACTGACCAATGCCCAATACAGTAATAAGGACTACTCTCACAAATATAGTAATAATGGTTTTTAGACAAACAAATCTCATTACAAATGTTATCATGAGTTAAACAAACAACTTTTTAGTTTCGAATTCATTTATTAAACTAAAATGTATACATCAAAGTAATGGAAAAGTTGTTTTATGATAATTTAAAATTCTCATTAAGGATAATACGCTTTTATGCTAAAATGTCTTACAGTTTTATAAGGTATTTGATCCACTACAGATAATTTACCTTTAAATCTTTTGCGGACATTGTTAAGTTGTATAACTGTTCATTGGAACGTTGTATGCTACTATATATGTTAGCTCATACTAGTATTCCTCTTTTTTTTACTTCTATGACTTCATTGTCGTAGAATGATAGATGTTTCTTTTACTACAAACTTTTGGTGTTCTAAATGTCTCTTTAAAATGTTTCATTATATAAAGGAATTACATTTAAGTGAAATAAGAGACTTTTTGAAACTGGAAAAGGTTGACAGACTTTTAGCACCATGATTTATTGCACAGTCACGTAACACCGGCGCTGAAACGCTATTTTTTTATTTTTAAACTCAGTTGAAAAATTAAAGGTTAAATAGATTGGTTTTTACATTTATGAATAAAATAACTTAAGTTAACATTATAATAATAACAATTAATGGATTCGATTCAACATATGATGGCATACGTTTTAAAAGCATACGAGTTAAGAGTGAATTTCAGATATGCTGAATTCATAATGCTAAATCGTTTAACCATGGATGATTTAACATTAATGCTTTCATCTTTGTTTCACTAGTGCACAATTTAATATGATACAGCGCAAATTTCTGGAATATGTTTCGTTGTTCATCTTATTTCAGAGAAATAATAATAGTGTATGTAAACCGGTTCAATCCTTGTTCTATATAGAATTTTATACGTAATGTTTCACAATTATTCAAGTTAATTAACAAAACGAGGCTGAAGTTAACAAGTCAAAGTTTAACGTTGGAAGAAGAGATAGTTGTATCTTTGTAGATATTTAAAAGAAATGTTTCAAGGTTCAATCCATAATACCGAGAAGATCAAGCAATATTTATATATTAAGTACATTATGTACGCTTTATAAACAACAATGTATTTGAAACAGATAGTATAAGTGTCAAAAAAATGGTTCATACAAAAATCATATCAAGCAAGTAAGGCAATTGGGGGTGGCCGACAGAAAATCCTGAACCTAAATTTTTCTCTACTCGATTGAGGGAACTAATGTCTTACGGTGTTCTCAATCTTGTGTCACCAAGATTCTCATTCAGAAACGTTACCACTGAGTTATCCCGGCAGTGGGTGATTTTCTTTGAGAAAGAGATATATTTATAACTGACTGGTCACTGATTAGTGACCAAGGTCATGTTCTTCAAGTCCTTTTTACTGTTGATCGACTTCTATCGATAAAGCTGGATTGATAGTGTTCAGTCAGTACTAAGAAAGACTTGACATATATGATAGAGTACTTAAAAAACTATATATTTCATTGGAAACCTTCATACCAATCTCTACAAATATTAATTTTAAGAACAATAAAATCACATTTGAATTTTAGCTGTGCAAAACATAGTAAAATGGGCTCAAACTGTTACTATTAGTATCCAATTTAGTCACTAGGATACCTGAAAGTGAACAAGAACAGTATACTATTTCCAATTTTTCTGTTTTTGAGAATATTACTTGATCTGAAATTGACAAACAAAATTGTGATATAAATAATGTTTCCTCTAACCTTTTAATATATCTAGTTATCTATAATAAATTGGTAAATCTTTTAACTGTAAACTTGACAATTCACATAATTTAAACATATAAACAACAGTATTATAATTTAATCCCTAAATGAAAATCTCACTTAATTCGCATAATCTTTTTTAAACATCATGCTAAACATACTACTTAAAATACTTTTTTCTACTTACAATTATTTTTATAATAATATTATAACATATTTAATTAGTAATTTTATAAAAATCGATATTTTACGATAAATCACTATTCACTAATCAATAATTCAAGCATTTTTAATAAATAAATAATTTTAAAAAAAAAAACAATTAAAAGTACACCGAAAAAAAACACAAAAAAAAATAGTTTTTCATCAAAACTTATTTAATTATCAATCATTGATACATTTCAAATAAAGAAAAAAAATTATATTTATTATAATACTAATTTATTTTCTATATACTTATATGATAATTTTGTTTTTAAATCTAATACATAAATATTTTATGATAACTACTAAAGTATTACACTTTTCTTTGTTTTTTCTTTTCTTTTTCTTTATTATAGTTTAATAACATTACCTACCTACCATTAAGAAAAAAAAAGAGGAAACATTTTGATAAAACATTTAATTTAAATAGAACTGATTACTTTTCATGTTTGTTGTCAAGCATCTATTAAAATATTGTTCAATGTTCAAGTATACATATATATATAACTATATTTTGTTAAAATTAGCAACATTTATCACAAAAGCAAATGAATGATATTTAATAAATTAATTCTATATAATTTAATTCAATAAATGATTTTCTTTCATATTCTATTGTTGTCTATAAAAAGGAATGTAAAAAATAGGATATATATATGTATTGTTTTTCTTACAATTTCATTATACAGTTTATTGGTTTATCATCGTTAGAATAGTGTAATTTATATGACTAATGAAACTAAGTCATATTTCTTTTTCTTTTTTTTTGTTGGTTTTTTTTTGTTTTGACAGGAAACATTTATATATGCCCATTTGATATAATACACAATTAATCATATCTATTCAATGTTTCTTAGATTAAAAAAATCAAGGAATGTTTATTGAATCCAATATAATTTTACATGTATGGATCACCTGTTTTTTCTTCTTCTTCTTCAATGAGAATGCTTGACAATTAAATTGTAATGATAATGTTATCATAAATAATAAATAAAAAGTTGGTTAAACATTGAATTACAATACAAAAACAAAAAAAAATATATATATATACTAAAATAACATTATGTCATAATTTTTTTAATGGTATAATGTTCCGGTGAATAATTCACATATTGATCAATAAATGGTATAGGATCTGTACTATAATTTAAATTATTTGAATTTAAATAAAAATCTTCTATACAAATTAATTTATTTGAATAAAGTGATATTGTCTCTTGATCAGTAAATGGATTATTTATTTCTTGTTCTAAATGATGTATACATTGTTGTTCACATAGTTCATCAATATGATTATCTTGTTTATATTGTTTTTTTAAATGATTATTTCGTAAAAATATTCTACATTTAAATATATCCATTAATGTTTGTCGAAATGTTGGCATAAATGCTAAATATAAGAAAAAATCAAATGCATGATTAAATGAATCAATGGAACTAAATAATTTTGAATATTGTACAATTTTTTTAGTGTATTCTGGATATAATATATCATATTTATAAAAATATACTTGTTGTCTTAATATAATAATTACTACTAATGGAATAGATAAACTTGTAAATAGTATACTAATAGCTAAATGTGCTATTACTTTACCCCTTTCATTATTTGATTCATCATTTTTAGTACCAATTAATTTTGATCGATATACTATTGTACTTAATTTATATAATATTAAAATATTTGTAATAAAAATAAATATAGCTGGAAGTATAGCTACACCAATTATATATAAATAAAGAACATATTTTACACCACCAGCAACAGGATTAATATATTGACATTCATGGGAATGATTTATTGGATGAATTTTTAAATCAGCAAATATTAAATGTGGTATATTTAATATTAAACAAATAATTATAACAAAACTAATAATAATATGAGCTAATTTAACATGTGAATTTTGTTCAAAATGTTTTGGTTTATAAATTGAACAAACACGATCAACACTAAATAACATTAATATAAATGCAGCAATTAATGCTGATGCATCAGTTAAATAAGTAAATATTTTACATAGAAATGATGATTCTATATCAACTTGTATTGAATATTTACATTGTGTTGCATATTTTAATCCACGACCTAAAAAATCATCAATTAATGTATTTACAATTAATTGTATATTATGTGCAATAGCCATCCATATTGCATATAAATTAAAACGACAATTTGTTTGATATTCAATAATAATAAATACAAGTATAACTAAAAAATTTGATGGTATACCAATAATTACTAATATTGGTGATACATATGCACGAAATGTATAAACCATAATTTCTTCTTTTGTAAGATGAATTAAACATCCTTTTGAATTGAACATGATTTTTTTTAAAAATTTTATTTCATTAAAATTTTTTTCTTATTTTTATTTTTTTTTTTGTTTTATTTTTTTTCTTTTAGTTGTTGCTTAACTTTATTTTTTTTTAATGTTGTTACGACAAGAAAAAAAAATCGTGTTTTTTTTTTGTATGAATTTTGTATTGTCGAATATTTTAATTTTTCATTATTATTAATAATGAATTAAATATATAAATAATAAAATTCTTAAAAGTGATTCGACCACATTAAAATTATTATTATTTGCATTCTGATTGGTTAGAATAGATTTAATTATATACATATATTTATATATCAAGTTGATTTACAAATATGTCTAGTATTTAAAGTTGAAATATAACTACTTTATTGTTGTATTCTAGTAATCAAATGGTTGTAAATAAATATTGATGTTATGTAATGAGAAGTGTAGAATTGATGGTTATATGTTTTTTAAAACATGATATACATATACTTTATCATAAATATCAACCAATCAATTTATTTCAATGGTTAAGATCATGAGTCAATTGAAGTTAGACCACCATGAAAAACCTGAAAGCATTAGACAGCCGTTTCGTTGTATTGTGGGACTCCTCAATCAATTTATTACCAATGTATTTAGATTTATGCTAAATCAATAGTGATTTTAAAAATAATTGATTATTATAATTATTATCAGAACGGGTTTTGTGGAGATCGTAGTAATTTCAATAGTTGAAATCATGAGTCAATTAAAGCTAGACCACCATGAAAAATCTGGAAACACTAAAAGACCGTTTTGTTCTATTATGGGACTACTCAGCGGCGCGCATCCACGATCCTGCTCATGGGATTCGAACTCAGGAGCTATCAGTCTCGCACGTGAGTGATTAACTACTAGAACATTGAGCCGGCCGGTATCCAACGGTGTTATTGTCTAACTACAACTAATCCACGAAATTGAGCGACACATTCACCATTGTTATCAGTGAGTTACTGTCTCACAACTGACCCTGTTGAATTCCACTGGTCACTGCTTCTTACTAGAAACCCAGGATATACATCTTGAAGCCAGTCACTAGTGAGCATATGTTGATTAGTATCAGAGACGGGTTTTGTGGAGATTTCGACAAGTTGAATAGTTTAGATTACGAGTCAATTGAAGCTAGACCACTATGGAGAATCTGAAAGCATATTATATTTAAAGACCATTTAATCCTTCTGTTTATATACAGTACCTATGACACCAAAAAACTCATATTCACTGTATTGTAACGTTGTGAATGTAAAACACGATCATAATATTAATGTTTATTCTTGTAACATTTTCATTTTATGGTTCATATCAGCTTATTCATACGTTAGGTAGTTAGAAATAATTGGAAAAAATTCTGAACCTAGTCTACGAGTTTCTGCAATTTCCAAAGAACTAATGTCTTCTATGAGATTTAGACTGAAGTCATACATTGTCAATCAGAAAAGTTTCAACTATTCTAGTCAATTCAACAATGACTATGATTCTTGGTTGATAAGAACAAACATGCACGAAATCCAAGTTCAAAATTTTTTAGAGCAATTCTAGATTATATCAAACATATTGAATGTGACATTAGGTTGAATAAAGTACGTTATAATTGTAAAATTCCATTAGAACTAAATATTAAGTAAGCATAAAATTGGTTACTGCTTGGCAATAAACCAGAGTTTATCCTTGTTTCTTTTGGATTTTTTTTTCATCAAAGTTTATGTTTGAAAACAATTTAGCTTCTTTGTTTAAAGTATTATTCTCTGCCATGTTTATGCGGCATGATTTTATTAATATTAAAAAATCGCTCCTTATGGGCCTACAATCAGGAAGTATGTCCAGTAAGTTATTAACCCGGATGATATGCAAAACAGCTCAGAGAACGCTTGAAGAGGAACGCTATAATCAAGGCATCTGACGGTGATCCTTAAAAAGAAAGACTAATTATCTTTTATTCATTAATTTATCTGCTCCTAAGGAACAAATTGATTTGGCCTATTTACGAGAGAATAACATTTTCATTTTCATGAATGCCTTCGAGACTAGCAAAGATGCAGTTAGGACTCTAAGCACGTTATTTCTAGTCAATTTATTCCAAATCAGTCGTTTTACTGAAATCTATCAGACTCAGAGCTCTTCAAACAAGAGAAACAATAACCAAAATAGTAAATAAATAGATGTTTGAAAATGAGTAGTATTTCATACAGTTCTTCCCACTTAACTTGGTTTATCACAAGTCTGTAAGTTCAATATTAATTTTAATTCTATGATAACCTAATTTTATACACGTCGTCTTCTTCTTCCTTCAGTTCTCAGTTTAAATTTTTCTTAACAAAGTGACATAGTTATTATCGTCATTTACATGTCTTCGTATTATTTATAAGCTTGTTAATATGAAGCAATTAAAGATCATACTATTCAAGGTATTTTAACTTATATAATATTATACATTACGAAATCGTCTACTAAACATTTGGTCTGATTGTTTATTGTATTATAATTCCTCTCTTTGTATGTCATCTTCATTTCTTTTAAGCGTTAAACTCACAATTTTAGTTAAAATTTAAACTGATTCTAGATAAACACTGTAAGTAAACCATTCTGACAACAACAACAACAACAACAGGAACAACTCGATTTCACAAACAATCTGAAATTCCTATTCTATAATATTTAAAAAGATGGATTTATTTTAAATTTGTTTATTGTTTAAAAAATCATTTATTTAGATATATAATTGCAGAACATGAGCTAGATTTATTGCAAAAAGTACTGTTTAATCGTACATTTGCCTTGTTTATTATTGCCCTTGAAGAAATTATATTTCATTGTGTTACGTAGACGCCTTTATAGGCTTTTGTAATATATGATGCTAGCTAGTGACAATGTTAATCAAAACAGGATCAGTAAAAGTTAGACCAAACCATCATATCAGTTCATAAAGACATGAAATGTTTAGTACAACCATACAATGAAATTGTAAACTTTATATGAAAGTTTATATTTTTATGGTTCTGGTTGGTTGGGGATCTTAAGTGACATGAAGAGAAAAAACAATGGTTAAACAAAATCCGTTTTGTTTTTTATTCTGAAAGTGTTGAGATATTTTCGTCATTACGCTTGTACCAACTTGTACCAAGAAACATGAATCGAAAACCAGTCACAATTAACAATAACGATGAAAGTATTTTAAAGTTCATGCACTTGTCCAATCAAACAATTAATACCTTTCTTTTATTCTTATCAAAACATTTACTCAATAATGCAAAATTTACTTCACACAGGAGAACTTTGGTCTAGTTACTATATATAAGCTGAAGTTTTTGTAAATTCTGGTTTATGTCTACTTTAATAAAACTAATATCACGAACCAGCTAAACATCTGTATAAACAATTTCGTTTCCTTTTTCCCACTACTTGGAAAAAATATGAATTTCTAATAATAACTAATAACCAATTATCAGAAGGGGATTTTTGGAGAACTTAGTAATTTTAAAGTTAAATTCATGAGTCAATTAATGCTGGACCACCATGGGAAACCTAGAAGCACTGGATGGCCATTTCGTCCTCATATGGGACTTCTCAGCAGTACGCATCTACGATCCCTCTCTGCGTAATTCGAACCCTGGACTTATTAGTCTCGTGAATTGGTTCAATTTCGTGGATTGGTTGAAGTTAGACATTCACATCGTTAGATGACAGCTCAGTGGTTTAGAGGTTAAGCGTTTGCATGGGAGACTGATATGTCTTGAGTTCGAATTTCGAGTGCCGAGATCGTGGATGCGAACTGCTGTTTAAGAAAATTTGCTAGTCATAAACAACATAGAATCTTCAACAATAATATGTCTAGAGGTTAGACGTCCGCTCTCGAGACCGAGGGTCCTGGGTTCGAATACCGCCAACGGGATCATGGATGAGCATTGCTGAAGAGTTTCATACTGGGACAAACGGCCGTCCAGTGCTTCCAATTTTTCCATGGTGATCTAGCTGCAATTGACTCATGAATTCAACCATAGAATTAATAATCAATTATTTATTTTCTCACTTACTAATTTTCTCTCAGTTCTGCTATACGAAGCTGAAACATGGAAAACTACAACAACCACCATCAAGAAGGTACAAGTATTTATCAGTAGCTGTCTACGCAGGATACTCAACATCCATTGGCCGGATACTGTCAGCAACAGCCTACTGTGGGAGAGAACAAACCAGCTTCCCGCTGAGAAGGAAATTAGGAAAAGACGATGGAAATGGATAGGACATACATTGAGGAAATCATCAAACTGCATCACGAGGCAAGTCCTAACTTGAAATCTTGATTGGAAGCGGAAAAGAGGAAGACCAAAGAACACATGACGTCGGGAAATAGAATCAGATATGAAAAGGATGAATAGCAACTGGAAAGAGATGGAAAGGATTGCTTGGGACAGGGTTAGATGGAGAATGCTGGTGAGTGGCCTATGCTTCTTCACGAAGAGTAACAGGCGTAAGTAAGTAATTTTCTCTAATTCACTGATATAAATTCACTATTCTTTTTTAACTTATATATGTTTATGTAGAGTGACTTTATTCCATAAATTTTTATGTTTCAATTCCAAAGTTAAATAAACCGAAAAAAAAGTTAATAAATTAGGAATTTCTTCAGTTTTGTAATCAGTTTTAAAAATGGCAAATTTATTTTCTAAAATTTTCATTATTAATTTTAAAATTAAACGGGTTGATGAAGAGTTTGTTTATAGTGTAAATTGTTTTCATTGTAAATTGACCATCAAGAGGCAATGATAATGTTTTATCTCTTATAAATCCACAACTTGTTATCTGTGTGATATCATTTTCAACTGAGTAATAATAATCATTCATTGAATATTAGTTATTTAATCCAAGATAGACATATTATTAATGTAACAATAATTTATGTCCTAAAAGGAAAATAAATTCGTGTGTTAAAAGGGAATTGAATAATGATGGGTTTTTTATTAGAAAAAAATCAATACATCACAATCTTTACGATATTTAATAATGTAAGATGGAAAATTACAATTGAGTTATGATATATCTGAAATATCACAAACATCATGGATCAGGATAAAGTTGTTACATCAACTCAAATTACAGATAATATGATCAGTTTATTCAAATATATTCATATCTATAGCTCTTGAAGTCACTAACTGAGCCATGTTTGTAGATACAGACTATTTGGTTGGGGTCCCTCGACCGTAGCTGCTACCTTGACGTGGTGGTCGGGCTTGCTTACCGTGATGACCCAACCGAGCTATATTGGCTGGAACACATGTTCCTGCAGGTTCTATCATTCCAGGCAGATCGATTGGAG